GATAAAACATAGGCTTTCTCTAGGGGTATGTTACTCCTTTTTTCTATGTGATAGTAAACTAAGCTGTTACAGGCTTTAGCCTTGCTTGAAAATCAGGCTCTTGTTGTGCTAAAGCTAGTAACTTTTGTGGCTTGCTTTTAAAGAGCGTAGGCTTTTATAATGCAGGTGGATGAATATGTGCTTGAATTGTGGAGAAAGCTATCCAGCTGGAAATTACACCTCTAACTAAACTGCTCCTATGGGGTGGGGTAGAGTGGGATATGTATAACTAACATGCTGTCTCGGATGTTTCCCTCTATTTATCAAGAAAATAAGGTGTTACATTAACAGCATTTCAGTGTTAAAAGAATGAGGTACTAATTGGTTTTTGGACAAAACACTGCTAGTAAATGGTTACTTTTTTCTTTTGTTTGTGGCTATGGTTTCTAGATCAGAGTGAATCATTGCCTTATGCTAAGTCTTAGCATTGAATACTCTTTTTGGCTTTCCCAGATTTCTCGAATGCTGGCAGCTAAGACTGCCTTGACTATTCGTTATGATGCCCTTGGAGAGAATACCAGTGCCGAAATGGGAGCTGAGAACAGACTAAAAGTAGAGACGAGACTGAGGCTTTTGGAAGAGAGAGGGGTAAGTCTAGCAGAGGGCTGCATGAAGCTGACATTCTCGTTTATGGTATGACTTTGTGATGCGCTGCTTTCTGAGTCTTTTCCCCTTACTCAGTTGTGTGATCTAGTGTCACTCTTACTCTGTAGTTTCTCCCAACCTTGGCTGGAGCAGTGGGGTTTGTAAGCTGGTTGTATGCATTTGTTTGTATGTCAGTTTTTCTTGTTTGCATGCTTGTCTTCATTTACATTATACTGAAAAATCTTGATTGTGAACAAAATTAATAAGATCATACCTTTACACTCTGCTACATCTCTGTATTAATTGCAAAGATATGCTTATTATTTCATAGCTTCTTTCTCTTCACTTTAGAAGAAAGTGCATTTGAGTTTCCCCCCCTCACGTTTTTCCAGCATGGTTCCCCAAAATCTGAACACTGGTGATGTTAGTCTTAAGGAGCTTTCTCTGTAGCTAAAGCAAGATGTTATTCTGCAAATTGCTGCATTGCACTCCCATTACCTAATGCATATTCTGCCTCTCTGTACCTGCTGTTCCATCTGTTGCCATCTGCACAGCATGCTGGGAGAACATAGGGTTGATTTTCCTCTTCTAGGTGGCATGCCTGCTGCATCTGATCTTGTAAATGATGACGAGGTTCAGGCTTCCAAGCTGTAAGATCTGATACTAATGCTGTAGTACTGGCATTGCTAGAACAAAAAAGAAAAATGAGGAAAACCTGCCTGCTCCTCCTTGAGCATTTCATGGGAGGTGATTCTTCCCATTGAAACAAAGGCAAGGAGACATACTAATACCAAAACACAAAGTGATTACCTGACAAGTACAAATTTAATTCAAATCCAGTTTGGCGCCTGTATTGTGGTTTCAATGTTGGCTTAGTCCAGGCATAGGGTGAAAACCTGCTCTGACATGCAGTTATCCTTGCAAAAAAGGAAAGTGTGCACAAATTTGAGCTGGTCTTGGGAATTTAGAGTATGATGTTGTATGTCATGTGGCTGTGGCATGTTTGATCCAGTACTAGATGCCCTTTAGTTGAATTGGGCTCTTGAAGAGCAATATTAGAAAGGCATGTGCCTTTCTCACCCCAGTTACTTCCTTGTCACTATGCTACTCCCAGGTGTAAGATTCATACAGGTACAGAAGAGCCTGACCAATAATATATGTCACTCTTTCTATTTTTAATTACTTTCAAGAGCTGTAGAACTTGTGAATTGTTTTTGTTATGAATAATTTGGTTTTCATGTCTAAATTTTTTTTCTTGTAGATAAGAAGAATAAGTGGCACTGGAAAAGCCTTGGCCAGGACAGACAAGTATCAAAATAAGAGGTGAATAGTTTTTCCTTTCAGCTTGGCTGAGTATAAATAACTCTCCATGTTTTTATTTCTGAGAAATTTTTTTGGTTGTGGGCTGAGTTGAATTTAAGATGCAGAAAACATTTTCTGCTCTTAAAAGCTGATGACAAGTCCCATTGCTAATGGGAATTTCCATTTTCCTGCATTTTACAGTTGTGGTAAAGTCAGTGAACTGGAGAAACAGTCCTGATTTTCTAGTAGTAAAGTATTGACATCATCAGATAACAAGTATATTTAAATGCTATCAGCATCAGCCCAAAAAGCTGACTAGTTTAGGGAGAGTTAATATGTAGCAGCTTTATTTAATGCAAGTCTGAATAAATGAAATTTGAGAAAATCAGAGTTTGAATGCATTTCTTTGACATGAAAGCTGTCCTAGAGACCTACTTAGTCTTACTCTTAGAAAAGAAAAAAGCAGCACTTGTTTTGAGCAAAGCTTCATCTCCTTTTTTAGGTCCGGTATGTAAAGTAATACATACCTTAAGCGATAGATAGGGTCTGTACTCGGGACACTGTTAGAGCAGTTTTTGGTGCCCAAGTGACATTGTAAATTGCATCTGGGACAGCTGAACATCTAAGGATTGGAACAGGTTATTATTAGTCTGAGCTGTGACATCTGGGTTTTTCACTTAATTTGGTTGCAGGCTTCTTGCTTAGCTTGGCCTGCTTATTTTGCTGAACCTTCAGGGTAGAGAGGGCAAGTACTCAGCAAAACCAGGGCTGGGTGCTAGCTTTGTGAAATAAAAATAGCACTGTTGCACCCATCTGCAGTCCCCAAACATCTTTCTCAAGCCTAGCTGTAACTTTCATTTCCATATGCTAGGCATTTCAAAGTGTAGTGATGGCTGTGATTTCTGGAGCAGCTTTTGAAACGATGGTGTCAGTAAATGAAGCATCAGGGCGTGTTAAGGAGGCAGTAACTTAGGGAGGAGGGTGTTGAGGAGACAACATGCATGCAGGTTTTTGACCTCTTGAAATAAGGAGTCATGAATTCCTGCCAGGACATGTTTCTACTGTTAGACATGCTCTGCAAATGTGTCTAGGCTTGGGGGAGAGACTGAAGATGTTTGGCTTAGTCTGGCTGCCTAAAAGGGAAACTGACTCAGTCCC